GCCCCCCGGCCTGCGTTTGGGGCAGCTGCTCCCTCCTCGGGTCCCTCCGAGCCCACCCGGCGTCCCACAGGTGTGGGTGGGTCTCCCTGGGCGGCGACCGCGTCTGAACCGTGCGTGGGGGCGCGGGCTCCAGTGATGTCGTGACAGGGACTCTCCCAGAGCTCGGTCTTCACAGGAACACAGTAAGATCTAAATTTCATTTTAAAAGTGAAAAAGCAAGGAATTTGCTTTCAGTTCGTACCAAAGGTAAAGAAGTGTCAAAGGCAGCAAAAAAAGAGAAGTCTAATGATTTCTGAAACTCTCCGAATTTGTTTTCACTGAAGTGTGATAATAGGCATTATAATAACGCATCGAATATTTTCAAGATTAGGCAAGAAATTTAATTATTTGTGGGATGAATTTTCATCAGCAAATACAGTAATTAGGCCTTCATAAATACCCAAGATAAGCCAACCTTCAGAGTCACATCAAGGAACGGGAATTTAATGATTATTTATTTGCCTTTACTGCAGCCTGTACTGTTGGGACAGTCACTTGATACCTACCTCCTCTCATTATCCAACATCTGTGCTTTTTGTCACATTTCACAAACTCCAGTATCATCAGTAAAGACACTAATAGCCATGGTAAATACTTTTAGTATTTCAACATTTTATTTAGGAAACAAATAACAATGTGTGATATATAAAAATTATGTCTTGGCGTTAGGTTTGCTCACCACGTCAAGTGTAATTTTTCATCCTTGTGACAGTATAAGAGATTGTGACAAGGGAATCGCTGGGAGGTAGGAGAGTTTCCTGATTTGCTTCCTGGTGGTTTTTTTCCAGTTATCTGTATCATGGCTCAGTAGCCAAAGGCTGAGTTTCCTCTTTAGTTGTCAACTGCAAAAGTGAAGAAAACAGGCAACAGGAACTTCCCTGGCCATGGGGCGTGGGGGTTGTGTTTGAGGTTCCAAAGATGTCATATAATTGTAGAAGAGCACACAAAGTACTTTGTTTGAGCTTCCAGAGATTTTACATCATCAGTAGTTCTGGCCTTAACAAAATTGCTTATGGTACAAAGAAACAGGAGGAAATGGAAAAAGAATGAAACATATATCTTCGGAAACAGGTGCACTTTACAGATCTCCTTTCATTGCGTGTCATGGAAATTCATTTTCCTGTACTCCTGTGAAAACACTTTTATCACATTTATTTACATACACAATAATTGAAAATTACACCTGAGATATGCATTTCTTTAGTGCTGATACACATCAGCACTAAAGAAGAACTTCTTATCAAGAAGCCAAAAATAAACAAAAAATAGATGCGACCCAACCCGTTGGTGTAAGCGAGCTTTTGTGTAAGTCCTTTCTTGGCAATATCAACACAAATTCTTGTGTTTCTAGCTTTTTTCCAAGCCCTAAAAATGAAATTAAAATTTTTTATGCACTGTCTTGCAACGATGTTAGAGATAACTACAGATGTAAAGATAGTTGAGGGAGAGGTAAATGAAATTACAACTATAAAACATATCCTAAGGAATGGTTTTATTTAGTTTTTCTTTTGGGGGATGGTGTGTGTTTGTTTTGTTGTTTTAAGGACCCACAGACTCCGAATTAAAAATGGAATATTTTTGAAAACTTGGCTTGTAAACTAGTTATTAAAAACTTAAAATGAACTTTTCAGTAGAAACAATGATATAAACAGAAAGAGAAACAAAAGTAATTAACTGAGAATGAGGCAGAGGCCGTCTTCCTGCTGTCCCATGCGCTCGGCGCACTCCCTCGGCCTTCCAGAGTCTTGGGCCTGAGAGAGACTTGGTGGCGAGGGCCGCATGGGCTCCTTTGAATGCAGTAGCTCCACAGGCACCTGACTTTGGCTCCGCTGATTTTTGTCAGTGGTAGTGACCGCTACTATTCTGTATTAAATCCCTTTCTGTTTATATTTCCTACGCAGAGTTTTGCCCTTACCTGATACTGTGACAAAGAGGGTTTCTTCCCCAGGCTAAAGGCTCCTCCACGTGCACCCTCTCCTTCACTCATGTTTCCTTCCACTCCCGTCTGACAGGCTCATGCCCTGCCCTCAGCCTGGAAGGCTCTTCTTACATCAGCTGTGACTGTACAGAACCTGCCTTTGGCTCATTGTTATAGTGATACCAGATCAAAGTGTATCTGTATTTTGGTATTTATTTTACACAATACTGAAACACTGGTATTTACACAGTTGTTTTCTTCATAAGAGAGATTATCTACATTAGGATTGCTCAGCATGTGGAAGCACCTAATTTTACAATTGTCTTTAGATGCTACTCTGCTGAGAGAACACTAAGGTTCCTCCGACCTTTTGGTCTGAGTCTTTCCAGTTAGATTGATTGATAAATGAGTGCAGTTAAAATCAAGTACCCTAAGAAAGGAGGACTGGAAGGAATGGACCACGACCTCCAGATGAAGGGACTGTGTCAAGTTTGAAGTAGGAGTTGGGCCTCTAAGACAAACAAGGGGTAAAGGGCAGAAGCCTAAGGAACAGAGAGACAGGGCACAGCTGCCCTACGTGTGTGTTAGTCATGCTCGTGCCTGAATGCCAGGCGGCCTGCCATAAGAGAGTCTGCCCTTCTGCAGAGCTGGCCTTAACAGCTCTAGCCTTTTGTCACCTGTCTGTATGTGGGTGGCATCCACCTAGATGCAGCAGTCTTGAGACGGCCCTGCTTACCGAGAGCATACAGAGGTCCCCTTATCCTTGGACTGACTTTAGAATCATTATCTTCAGCTTTAAGGTCTTTCTTTATGATTATAAAGGTAATGTGTACTTTGGAAAATGTAGCAATATAGAAAGGCCTAAACAAGAAAACAAATGCACGTGGAATCCCACTTCAAGTAATATATTGTTTAAAAATATCAAACCCTTGTTAGTACTACGCTCATATCTACGGGTGTGTGTTGTATGCGTATATACACACATGTATTTTAACATGTTTCAAGGTAATATTTGAATTTGATATCTATTTAACATGTGGTGTCATTTCCCAAGTTATCAAAAATTCTTTGTAAAAATTATTTTTAGGGCAGCCTCATAGTCCATTCCTCTAATATAGCACATTTAAGTTGCTTTAAATTTTCTTTTATAGCTAATGCTGTAATGAAAATCTTTGCCTGCAGATCCTCACAGTTCTGCCTTGGAACAGATTCCTAGAAGTAGAAGAAGTAGGTCAATGCGTCAAACTCTTTGAAATCTCTTGAAACATCTTTGAAATCTCTACATCACCCACAGACCTAAGGGTGCGCCAGTGTGCACTTTCAGCATGGGTGTGTAAGGGTGCCATTTGAAACCGTCATACCAGCAATAAACAGGATCAGTTATAGATTAATCTTTGTCAATTTAGTAGGCAAAAATTACCTTATCGATGTAAGATAATGCTGGAAGTTTTCCTAAACCATTCATATATGTATTGGACATTTGTACTGCTTTTCAAATCACAGTCTTTGACCATTTTTTCTGACATTATCATCAGATATTTATCCTTCTTTCATGTTGATTATGGATATTTTCCCTGCTTTCTATTTACTTTACAGTTTTGTTTATGATGTTTTTGATTTAGAAATACTTTAAATTTTTATAAGCCAAAGGAATTGTTTTGGTGATTTTATACACCCATATTACACACGCACACAGAAATCTCTATATTTTTGTTGACAACATTCTTTCCGATCCTACAGTGAGTGAACTATCCACCAATATTTTCAATATGTGTTTATGGGTTTATTTGTTTTCACCCTATGTATCTAATCTCTTTAGAAAGACTTTATTATGTGGGTTACGGAGCTAATCTTTTTTTCCCCTAATCATTGACCACTTTCCTCCTGGCTTTACAACCCTCTGTAGTAGTTATACATAATAAAGACTTTATTAACTTATATTGTTGTTGGTATTGTGAAAGGGAACTGTTTCCCCCACGTCGTGTTTTTGCTGTTGGTTTCTAGTTATTGGTTCTTATATATTTAGTTTTTAAGTAGCTACCTTTCTGAGTTCTTGTATTAATGCTAATACTCATAAATACAAGTATCTCTCAGATCGGATTCTTTTGCATTTTTTATATAATCATCCAGTCTATGTAGGAGGTTGATTCTGCTTCCTTTCAAATGGTGATGCTTCATTTCTATTTCTTGCCTTCTATAGCACCTGGGACTTTCAGGTCAATGCCAGTATAGATATTCAAGTAAATATATTTAATAGAGGAACCTCTGTAAACAGCATTGACTAAAATGTGTTCCACAGGATTCTCTGTTTAAAAAAATGGCAGTAGAGGAAAGTCTTATGCTTCCTCTTTGATCTAGCATTAAAAATATGATTAACAGTACAGCTTCTAGATCTAGAATACGTAATTGAATCCTAACTCTACTACTTACTAACTGTAACTTGAGACAATAACTACCCTCTCAGGCTTCAGTTTCTTCAACCGTATAAAGGGAATCGACCTCATAGGATTATTAGATTACATGAGTCAATAATATACATAAGTGCTTATGATTAGCATGTAAGTGTTAGCTTTGGGGCCTAATGTCCAAGCAGAACCCTAACTGAAAACTAATCTGAGAAATGTCTTTCTTAGGTTTTCCAGACTTTGCAGTGAGACAGTCAGCCCGGAGTAGAATGGAGCAAGCTGTGCTCCTCAGCTTTGTTTAAGGCACATGCCTGTCGTCTCTTGTTAAACGGTCTGGGGTGAGGACTGAGATCTCGCATCTCTAATAAGCTTCCACGTGATGCTGATGCCATGCCCGTGGGCCACACTCTGAGTGGCAAGGTGGTAGAGGATAAATAAGCCAGTCGGTAGTATTCACCATACTCGCCCTTCGGCATACTATCAGTAATGATAAATGTGTATATCATTTATCATAAATATATATATCTCATATGTATATGTATACATATATACATATACATATGAAATGATAGATGTATATGTGGAAGTTATTTAACTATTCTCCAAGAAGGGTATACTTGAACTTCTGGTAAGATATGAGAAGCCGACAGCTGTTCCCCAGGCCAAGTGATTTGCACTAGTTCCTACAACTAACGAGAACTAGAGCAGACCGGAACCCAGGTGTCCTAACTCCAAAGCCATTGTTTTTTCATGTATACAAAGAGCCCGCCCACATGACAGAGAACAGCCTCTGACAAAGCTGCTGCCCTCCTTCAGATTCTGTAGTTCAAAGCTAGATACTTGTTTTTGCCCACTTCCGTTCACATCTTTTAAAAGCAGTTTACAAGCAATGCTGTAAAAGTGCCTTGAGTCTAAATGAAGTCAGACATGAACTCCATCTCATCTTATTCCCAAGAATGAGCAACGCAGGGAATAATTTTGCATATAAAAGGCATCTTTCGTTTTTTTTTGTTGTTGTTGTTTTTTACTGTTATTCAGAGTGTGGAACCTATACATAAGTATTTCTTTGGGGGGGCAGTTTTGCAATGTCTGGAAACATCTTGATTGTTAAGATTAGGGGGGGTGCCCCTGGCATTAATAGAAACAGTCCAGGGATGCTGCTAAGCTTCCTGTGATGCAAAGAACAGCGCCCTACAACAAAGCATTATCTAGCCCAAAATGTCACGAGTGCTGAAATACAGAAACCCTGCTCAAGTGTATAGAG